GAGAGAGAGAGAGAGAGAGAGAGAGAGAGAGAGAGAGAGAGAGAGATTGCCGTAATTAGAAAATTCGCGAATTAAATAATTCATTTACCAATTTTCATATAATCAATAATAAATAGTAAGTAAAAATGGACACTAAATTACATTAAGAATTTATAAACAGTCGACATATTATATGGAAAGCAAATTAGGACATCCAGTGTTTGATACAAAATTTGGGAAAATCGCTGTAAATATATGTTACGGTCGACATCACCCCCAGAATTGGATGATGTATGGCTTGAATGGGGCTGAGATTGTGTTTAATCCGTCGGCAACAGTGGGTGTATTAAGTGAGCCCTTGTGGCCAATTGAAGCCAGAAATGCTGCCGTCGCTAATCATTACTTTACATGCGCTATAAATAGAGTCGGAACGGTATATAACAATGATTGCTGCATTGTTTTAAGCTTTAACTATTTAAAACTCTTTATTTTGGTAATATTGTTAATAATAGGAAGTATTTCCCAATGAATTCTCTTCTGGTGATGGAAAGCCCGCTCACAAAGATTTCGGACATTTCTATGGCTCGAGTTATATCGCGGCTCCCAATGGGTCGAGAACTCCAGGTCTGTCCCGAGTTGATGACGGCTTATTGGTGGCTGAGCTCGACCTGAACCTGTGTCGCCAGACTCAGGACCACTGGGGCTTTAAGGTTATTAGCAATTTGCTCATTCATTCTTTACATTCATATTTTTAAGCATATAATTATTCTATTCAACAGATGACCCAACGCTTGGATTTATACGTTAACGAACTTAACAATGTTATCGGACCTCACTTTCAACCAAATATTATTTGCGAAAACAAATAATTTCTGTCTAAACATAAAATGAATTTTGCGATTCTTTGAACTCAAATCCAATCTTTAAGTTTTCTAATGTTTATCATTTGATACCAAATTATAAACCCTTGAATTTAATTTTGGAAAATTATGTTTTAAAATAAATTTAATTGGATTTCAACACATTTTGTTTATTGATAATTGAGTGAAACAAAGTAATAGTAATATTTAATACAAGAAGGAAGAACCTGAGGAAATGGCCGATCCTTCAGGTGGTTGAGCATTAAAAGTTTGTCGTTTTCTCTGATAATAAACAACTGCCAAAAGAATAATAATTAACAAAAGCAAAGATACGGAGACCACAACCATAGTCCAGGTGAGGGCGGCGTACGGCCGACCCTTATTAGAAAGGGACTGAACAAAAGGAGAGACACCAAACAGTGCTGACAAATGGTGTGTCCAAAAGTTAGCCGACGATTGACGATAAGAACTATATGGTCTTAAATCATTGCCAATCCAATAGTAGTTGAGTCCGTGTCCATCAAATGGCTGCCAACGCGGGAACTCGTAATTCACAAAATGTGGTGAATGTCTGATTTTGAAATGCGTTCAAATATGAATAATTCATAATTTGAATGATTAGTTATAGTATTGTGTTGTTTACCCGTGTTTAGCGAAATCAGTCCAAAGAGTGAGAACCCTTTCTCTTGTTTGGATGTCTTTCCTGGAGAACCAGCGCTGAGAAGTGATCTTAAGGTCAAACAAGTAGAAGAGTTCGTCGCCGTGACCGACGCCCGTCTCAAACAGTGTCATAGAGTTATCCATCAATACATTGACTAAACTGTTGCGTCCCTTATATGCAAATAAGTACTGATATGCGATTGCATCGGGAATTTGTGAATAAACTTTCAATGTTTCGTCAATACAAGAGGTGTAGAGGGCATCAGAACTCATCTATAATTGCAATCATTAATTGTCATACCGTTTAATATTCTATTTACAAATATTTTTACATTTATAAAACGGTAACTGATGTCAGAAATGTTCATTAAATCAACCCGGTTGAAATATTTAAATAATATTGTTTGAAGAATTTCTTTTTGTTTTAAACCTTTGAAACGAGTCGTGGATTCAAGAAATTGTGGCAAAAATACATTTTCAAGTGCTGACGGATCTGTTTGCAAATCTCTGTTGTTTACTAAAACTGTAATCCAAAAAAATTAATTAGAAAAGTATTAGAAAAGTAGAAAATAGAAACAAAAATAATAAATAAACTGAGACTGACGTGGATAAAAATAAGATGTTTCTTCACTATTAATTCCCATCATTAATGGAATTTTGTGGTAATTCCCAGAATTTAGTAAAATTCTTGGTTCGTCGGGAAGGAAGCGATTAATACCAGTCTTCTCGACTACTGGTGTAGTTCTTTGAGGGAATTCACCAAAAATCTGTTTTCATTCAATTAAATAATAATATTTGTTTAGATTCTCTATACTGTAGAGTCTATAGTAATATAATGCACAGAAAAAGTTATTCATATTAGAATAACCCCTCATTTCCAAAGTTGACTGCACGACAAAATAGGTACACTGAACTGTACACTGAACTGTACACTGAACTGTACACTGCATTGTATTACCTTAGCATTTGATTGAGCGGTCAATAAAGCACTGAAATGTGTATTCCTTAAACAATTGACTAAATCAATGGTAGAAGATGTGGGACAGCCCACAGTCTGTGCCACTTGTCTGGCAAAGAGTAGCGGCGATCTCTCCAAAGCCCACTCGCAAAGGGCTGATCCGCTTTGAGCGATCGCCCGATGGAATAAACCTAAACATTATATTTTAAAATTGCATTGAATTTGTTATGAATTTAGTTGAATTTAATTCAAACCCTGAGATAAAGGCGATATCATGTGGTAAATGACTGAAGCGGCTCCTGATTTAACAAAACATTTAAATAAATACAGCAATTTATAGTGCAATCCCAGACCTGATCCCTGTCCAAAAATGGTCACCAAATTAGGATCTCCATTGAAAGCGGCGATATTATTGCGAACCCATTCGAGGGCTAGTTTTTGGTCCAAAAGTCCCCAATTCCCGGACGCACTTTCATCATCGGTGCTTAAAAATCCTGTTTTACATTCAATTGCATTATTAGCGACACATTATCTAATTGTTTGTAATGTACTTTAGATTCATTAAAAGTTTTAATTTTTAACTTAAAACTATTGTATTTGTGTGCCAACTATGGGCTCAAGCGGTATTAGTTCCGAGTCATGTTTTTAAATGTAACATGCACACGCAAGCCCTGGGTATACGAGCCCCGGAGATATGGTATTATCTAGCGTTCGGCACCGCACCGACCATAGCGTTAGAGTCGCTGTAAATACCTTTATTCCTATATTAACACCACATAGAAGGTAGCGTTTTTAGCGGTCGTCCCGCGCCTATCCCTAGTATTATCTATGATTTTTACAGTGAATGCCTGAATCACGTGATGCGCCGTATCTCCAGGGCATGCGATGTAAAGTTTTAGGTTTTTAAAATAACTAATCCCTTAATCTCACACTTATATAACCGCCCCTTTTATCTGCCACATAAGGCGGCCTTAAACTGCTGTAAGATTAGAGTCTGTTTGGGTTTAATAGAGTTAACATTGTTTTAACGCCAAGTGTTTGGTCGAAAGACTCGACGTCACGTGGGATTACAGCTTAAGTCTACGACATAGGTTTAACATGGGCAATGCTAAGTCTATGGGAATAATGCCAATTTTATGAGAAATGTTATCACTATGAGATTAATTCTAATCCTATGGGTAATGGATAGTGACATCTTTGTTGTACTAATTTATTAAATAAATAACTAATTATTGTAATTTAAACTAAATTAACTATTATTAGAAAAAAATAATTTATTTAAATTCTAACCAAAACATTTTATTTGCCGTAAATTAATTATTATTTTGTAATTTCAAATCTTAGAATGAATACCATAGACTTTTAAAGAATTTTTACTAAATTTGAGATAACTTATATTAAGAAAACCAGTAATTTTTAAAATTAGTTTAAATAATAAATTATTCAACTAATATGCTGATTATATATAACAGTTAATTAAAAGTATCTAACTAAAAAACATGAAAATGTCACATTTCTATAAAAATGTAGCACTCAATTTTTCTAATGCTTACAAAAGCAATGAAAGAGTTGTTATACATGTGTGTTATATTCAATACGTGAATGTGCATGACTTTGGGAGCAAACGAATCAAATGATACTGGTTATTTTGTCAAAGTTTTATCTTAAATATAAATAAATATATAGTTTGGAACATCAGAATTGAGAGTTTGCTCATAAATAGTTTACCAACTGGGAAAAACTTAATAAAAATTTGCTTGATATTATTTTAAATTGTATATGACAAGTTTTGAAAAGTTAAGTGATAACTGTTTATAATGCTTATGGAACTTGTTTTTAGTTAGTTCCTATTAGTTGGCATTTTTACTATTAGGTATATACAGTACTTTGATGGTAAATAATAACTTTTGACTATTTAAATAAAATAAATATTATACAGTATTGGACATATCTTTAGTAAATATTATACATGTATATACAATATTTAGAACCTTATGAGTAAATATTGTGAAAAGCTTTAATAATATGGAATAATAATAAAATATGGTGTGAATTGACCTAATATTCCGATGCGATGATTGAAAGTGACGACAACGACGTCCT